TAATGGCACTCACAGCGTGATCGGTTCACTCTTAGGCGACTCCTGACCGCGCGGCAATCGTGATTGGTGTGAACCTAGCCTTAAAGGGAAAATCAGGCTGGTGGAGAGGTGGTACTCAGGTGGGCTTAGATTTGTCTTTCTATCTATCCATTCTTGAGATTTGCACAGCTCTACCACTCAGCAGAGCCCTGTTTTTCTCTGCTGCATTTAAATAACACTTGTCTAGCCCCACCCCCAGCTGGTGATTGGACTGTGAAAGGAGAAGCAGGAGACTGATGAGCTCATCTCTCTGTCAATCTGCTCTCCTCTTATCAGCGTGCTCCTTAAGTGAGGCTATTGTTTAGGATTGGCTTACCTGGTACACTGTTGGGGTTTTGTTGCTGTTGACTTTGTGTAAGGCATCAGAGTGTCTGGCCAGTGCTATCAGCATCCTGTGCACATGTGTTCCAGCAGGCACTGCTTCAGCGGCCTGATGGCTGGGGTAAAGGTTGCATTGATCTGATTCTCTCATGTCATGTCTCTTGCAATGCTGTTTCATCCATTTCCTGTAGAAGAAAAGGTGTGGCACGGTGTTAACCAAAATGTGCTGCTCGATCTGCTCATACTTTTTGTTGTTTCACACAGCCAGCTGTACTGAGACCGACATTAGTCAGGTTCTTGTCCCTTTCCTGGAGTACTGTGAAATTCAGCATCGAAGTGTTAACCAGAAGTGTGTTCCTGTGTGTCTCTGCCACACACATCAGATTTATCAAATAGGAACCAGCTGATTGTGAAATGCACACATTATGCAACTCAACATGTAATACACAAAGTGTGATGTATACATTCTGCCCGTGCATGATCCAAAGGGTTGTTTAATCCCCAAAGAAGACCTAGCATCAGACAAATGTCAAGTCCATGCATGCTGAGTAATGTGTAAGTGTAACACTTCCAGGTATTTATTACCTTTTGCAGAGAACACAGACAATGCCTTCATCTGCTTTTCTCTCCAGGACAGAGTCATCTCTGTATAGGCATCATCCAGGGTCACCATCTATGTCCTGGACTGAGATGGTGGCTCAGAGATTATACAATTATGTAAATTCTGGCACCTGTGCAGTTTTTTTTTTTTTTTTGCTGTGCTCACAAATGTTTGACACAGATCAGCCCCCTGCTGCAGCCTCTTACCTTGTGACTTGTTACAAAGATCGTGTGTGGAGAGGAGATGGAGGATATGCTTTCTCCTGCCTGTAGCTGATTGATGACATTATCTCAGGCTAGGGAATGTCACTACCTAAGCAGATGATATTGGGGATGTGGCACCCGCATCTAGGATTGCAGGCTACCTGTCTATGCTATCGTAACCTAGGCAGATCATCAGATTTAAAATTGCCTTGGGAGTTTGTATGTGATTGCCGATTGTAGGAAGCAGAGATGGAGAGAAGGGACATAGAAGAGGAATCGGGGAGTACACTCCCACTGACCCTGTAGGGTGCTGCATGAAATCTGCAGTGGAATATAGAGAACTCAGATCTCAAGGGCTGAGAGGTAGCTACAGGAAAAACTGTTTCCCTAAATAGACTTTGTCACCTTGCCCATGCAAGACAAAGGGCATACCATGACCCCTCATATTCCTCTTGCATGTGTTCCCTTGTGGCTCCTTGCTCCCCCACAGCCAGTACAGAAATCAGTGGTGTGTGTGACCCAGGGGAGCAGTGACAGTTCTCAGACTTAGCGATTGACTGCTGGGCCCGTGCACTTGAGAGCAGGTTACATGCTCCCCCGCACCTGATAGTAAGCGAGCACAGGTAAGGTGTGTATAAGTGGGTTGTAGGATGTACTTTGCACAGACGCTGTCACTTTACTATGCATGGGCAAAGTGACAGTGTTTGATCACCTTCCCAACCTTGGTATTGGATACTGAAGAAAGCTCCCTGTGTACCAAAACCATGGTCAAGGTCACCAGATCAGCCAACATCAGATTTCAAATTACCTTGAGAGTCTGAATGTGATTGCTGATGTAGGAAGCATTGCATAGAAGAGGTATCAGGGAGTATACTCCCACAGACCCTGTGAGGTGCTGTCTGAAAACTGCAGTGGATTATAGAGAAGTCAGAGCTGTGTACAGCGCCATAGTTAGTGGTGTTGAATCTCCAGACAATCCTTGTAACTAGGCTTATCCTCCTCCTCCTCTCCCACTTCTAGAATAACATTGCTTGTCAATAATTGACTAAACACAGGTATTTTTGACAGATATTGAAGCAATATATTTGTAGGTGCCCCTGTTGCTATTTTATTTTTGGGTTGGATCTTCTTTTAGGTTTTTATTACTATCTCTGTGTCTGCTTGGGGGATGCATCCTCTCTATCTGACTTGGTGAATAGGGTCACTGGGACAAAAAAGTCACAGGATAGCCAAAGTAGCAGGAAATCACAGGAAGTGATCACAGGAAGGGATCCCCCCGACTTTGAAGAACTTCCCACTCACTTATTGTTCTGCCTCTGGGACAGGAAGTGAAACCTTCCCAAAGGCCAGCACAGTGCTATAGTGGTTAGAACTTCTGCCTTGCAGAACAAGGGGTCCCTGGTTAAAATCCCAGCCAGGCCACTGTCTGCAAGGAGTTTGTGCTTGTGTGGGTTATCTCCGGGTACTCCAGTTTCCTCCCAAACCCCAAAGACATGCTGCTAGGTTATTTGCAGCATGCTAGGTTAATTGGCTCCTGCCTAAATCTGCCCTGTATGTATGCATGTGAGATAGGGACCTTAGATTGTAAGCTCCTTGAGGGCAGGGACTGATGTGAATGTGCATGTAAAGCGCTGTGTAAATTGTCAGCGCTATAAATACCAGTAATAAGTAAAAACTAGACTAAGAGGGGTTTTAACCATTTCCTCCTCTATTGGAAACTGAAATCTATGCTATAAGTGTTCATGTTATATAGAAATTAGGGATGCACCAATACCTAGTACAGTACTCAGTACAAGTATAAGTACAGATACTTTTCCAGCTCCGGGACTAGACTAGAGAAAAATTCTAAAGTTAGGAGGCAGCTGTGATTTGTAAGGAGCACACTGAGCTCCTGGGATTTGTACATCTCTGTTTTTTAATGTATGATTTTAAAAAAAAATAAATATAAATAAATGGATGCACCGATACCAGTTTTGCGAGTACGAGTACTGGTACTTGCTGAGTACTTACAAGTGCGAGTACTGATACATTTTTGTTTATTGTCATGTGAGTTTTTCTAAAACAATACAGACCAATGATTTCAGGACAGTGGTGGAGCGCCAGAGCTGTGTCCCAGCTGCAACTGCTACAATGCTGGAAGTTCCCCTGAAAAAGCCAAGTATCGGCACTGGTATCGGTGCATCCCTAACAGAAATAATTCAAGAATGGCAACAACCTACGGATGCTTGTGTTATTTAAAGACCAGTTCGTTTGGTATGTGCGAATCTTTACCTAGAAGCAGACACAGATTTCGCCAGTCTCGGATTTTGCTACTTGGATGGTCTGCTTGAAATGTACCAGTTTTGAAACTTTAATTTGAAGCGTTTACTTAGCAGAAATTTGAACTTAGCATTGCAAACCACAAATAAATAGAAATAGACTGCCAGTGTTTGTCATCTGAGACATTCTAAAATGTTCATGTATTTAATATGGGATTCAGCCTAAAGTAATAATAATATTAAAAAAAAGAATTTGGAAAGTGTTTTTTTTTTTTTTATACTTGACAATATGTAGGGAAGCCGTAGGCATAATGAGGACCTGCTGTCTTTTGTATATAACCTAGTGTACAGATACCTCTGTCAGAACACAATACACTATTTGGTGTGGAGGGATGGAGTTAGATTTATTTAGTTTGAAATAAATCTATTATTGTATAAACAACTTTACTCTGCAGGATACTCAGCCTGGCCACGGTGTTGGAATCCTAAGACTGGCTGAACAGAATTACATATATAAGCATCTAACACAGTTCACATATATGTATTTGAACTCCTATATATGGCTGTTTGGTCAGGGATCTGGTTTAACCCCTTCGTGACTGACGACGTTATGGGTACAAAAAAGTAAAAAAAGGCCTCAGTCATGAAGGGGTTAAATAGCCACTGCAGCCACTGAATATGGATATATGGTAATGGATTTTGTTCACATTTAGACTCCTAGGTGGCCTTTCACAATGTTGCTCCCCCCGCTTTCCTCCTTTACACATAAATAGAATCTGCTGATCCGCCAACTCATGTGCACAGAATTGGCCCGCTAACCCCCACCCCATCTCTCTTTTTTGTGGGTATGTCAGGCCGAATTTTTTATCAGCGTGAAGGTCGCTCACATGACTCTCAATAGCTGGAGATGAGGAGGGGACTCTGCACAATAGGAGCCACACTCTGCCCTTGGGAGACACTTGCCGCACCAATCGCTGCAGTCAATTACCATGCTAAAAATAGGAGCCACTGATACAAATTGCAGCCTGTCGCCCAACAAAAGCCCAGGCCAGCACGGCCTTTGATGGCCAAGTTTATGGTGCTTGCTAGGGAAGTTACAGAAGGACAGAGGAGAGTGAGGGGTTTTTATGCTGATTCCCCTAGTCACTCTGGGCCTCCCGCCATTTGCTGGCTGTCTCATTTGCATTTTGAATGACATTAAGGCCGCTAATGAGGTTATTGGGCATTGCAGTGGTCTCCTGTGGCCACACGTAGAGCAGGACCTACAGCAGTGCAAGCTGGCATAGTTTCTGTGACTCTTTATGTGGTATGAGAATTGGCTTCACCCTTTAAATGTACGTAAAGCACACAAAACGCACCACTCCTGGAGTTCTGCAAACGGTGACAAGTCACTGCACAACAGCACATACTTTCAGAACAAGCACATGCATATTTGCGAGGTAACAAAAAGTATGAATTTGTGTTTGCAGGACACTGTCCTTTGCCGTCCAGCTCAGGGCCACAGCGGTTAATGCACACTTTGGCACACCGCAATCCTTTTCCTGCCTTCTCCTGACTGTCTGGCCTGTTCTCTTGCAGACTTTAACTTTGCCCTGTATCCACCGTCTATGATAGCGACTGGAAGCGTGGGAGCCGCAATTTGTGGGCTGCAGATGGACGATTCAGAAAACGAACTCTCTGGCGATAGTCTGACGGAGCACTTGGCCAAGATTACTAACACAGATGTGGTGAGTATCCTGTTCATCTCAATATTTTTTTTCCCCCCCTTGATAATTTTTGAGAGTGTACAGCATCCTTGGAAAAAGAAGGTAACACAAGCATCTCTGTGGAAAAAAAAAAGGTTTTGGAATTCCCCCTAAGTTCTTGATCTACATATTATATTTGCAGATGTGGTTTTCTCGAGATCACTGAAACTGCTTGATAGTTAGAAAAAAAGAAAACAGCAGTTTTAGCGGCCAGGGCGCGGGCAAGGATTGAGTTCACAAGGGATAGTAGCCGTGCCTGTTTATAGTTTGTTCTTTTGCTTTGCACGGCGTGTAACAAAAAGAGGTATTATAAAAAAATTACTAAATATTCTATCTAGATAGATAGCTAGATAGATATATTGTGTATAAGTGTACTATGTGTTATGGCTTGTTTGTTGTCCAAAACATGAGACGGTCTTAGGCTTCATGATACGGGCCAAAATGCTATGGGTTATTCCTTTTATATTCACATGCATACCATATATTTTGTTTATTTTTAATTACTTTATCTGATGTAAATGTTCATTTGAACTTTTCCCTCTCTAAGTGTTTGATTTGTCTTGTTTTTTGGGTTGTAATTGAAAATCTAAAGGGAAAGATTAGATTCAATTCAAAGTGTGTAAACATTTTGAATAGAGTATGAAAAGGTTGAGACCCCTGTCTTTATGTGCTGTCTGAGACATTTTTCTTTACTTCCAGTCCCTGAATACAAAGTAAGAAATGGGTGATCTTTCCAAAGGGATAACCAAAACAGGTTTCCCCATAGAAGTTCTGGTGACAACTCAAAAATGCCAAATTTCCCATCACTTTCTGTACTGGAGATAGTGGTCACCAGGACAAGTAGTGGGATTGAATCTTTCCAGCAGGACTTGGGAAATGGGTTGTTAACACTGGAACCCTGAGGTTTTTTAATAAATATTAATATAATTGCTATCATCCAATGGTTTGGTAGTGGTGTAAATATGGAGAATCTGAATATTGGATTGAAAGATACTGCACACCAATGGATTTCCATGGTCAACTTGGGTTATGATGGGGATGAATGAATCTAGAATGGACGCTCCACACCATAATATTCCAGATTCCATAAGTCCAGATGCAAATTTATTCCAGTGACAAACCAACAGGAGATGTAGTTCCATCCCCTTCATTAGGGCTTGAGAATGTTGCTGACAGATGCTGTGCATACCCTACTCACTGTCATAATGACTAACTATACATTAATTGTTTCATTTTCTCCAAGCCCCGATAAAGAAGGCCCGAACTACAGCCCCCGAAAGGAGTTGACTTTGCAAACTGTTTGTTATTGGAAAAAAAAAATCTAGATTTGAATATTACTGCGAGGTATACCCTCATTACATCATTTTGACATTTTCCAACCTGGTATATGACTTCTTTTTCAATCTGACATAAAAAAAAATCAGTCATAAGCACCTGATCAGAAAGAGTCCATTTTACTTCAATTTGATTGAAATATTTCATGTCTGGATTCTACAGTGTTTGGGCACCACAAGGCTGGATGTGTTTGAATTACAACTTAAGCTGTGGCACTGCAAAGTGCTATCAATCTAACATGTCAAAAATGTGAAAAGGATGAGGGTGCTGCAATTCTATTATTCGCCCAATAAATATTTATTACACATGAGCTCAGAAGAGAAAGCCAATGCTGTCTAGGAGCTCAACACTTCCCCTGGGCAACAAATAGCAAAATAAAAGGATAGGAAATGTTTTAGTTCGGGTCGCCAGTTAGGCAGCCTGACCGGTGACATGAATGTGTTGGCTTTCTCTTATGATCTGTTGTCATGTGTAATAAACTTTACTAGAATCATACCAGATTTGTGGCGCTCTCATTCTTTGACTATCCCAGGGACGCCCAAAGATACCTCAGTTGACAAAGAGCTGCCTCTAAAACTTGGATTTAAAGCCCTATCCTTGCTTCTTTTCAGTCTATCGTTCTACCAACATGTCTGTTGTGGATCTAACATGTTTCCAGGCACTGGGAGCTGGAGGTGTTAAAGCACACTGAAAGCAGACATTCACCCAAATAATTTTTTCTCTCCAGGTTCCTCACGCCTTCCTCTTACACAATGGCAGAAAGTTTCATCACACGGGGAAACGTAATACTTTTTTGTGCTGCAGCCCAACACTTCACGCTTTCTCACCTAGACAAGAATAAAGTAGGGACCCCCTAAGCTTGTTAAAATGTCCACGTCACACATCCAAGGAGGCAGAGTTTCGCTGAGGGTTGCATGGGTGAAGCGAGGTCTGTGCACTCACAGGGGATTTCCGCACATGTGCTCATATAGCTCATTAAGTGTTCTGTCAGCAGTAGGCCTTTTCACCAAGCAGCAGGTTCCCACAACAGAGAGAATGAGAGAGAAAGCGCTGAGCATTAGTCAGCTCACATACTTTATATACAGACTTGTGAACAGCTCAGCCTAATAATGAGGTCTGGCTACCAAGTGAGACTTGGACCCAGAAATGTAGGCTTTATCCTACCCAAAGTTCTACAAAGCCTCTAGGCTACTGGATCCAGAACAGAACTCAAGACAATTTTTAACTTGGGATCCCCAGGGACCTTTTCCTGCTCTGCTTCTGCATGAGCTGCATTGTTAGGCAGCATGAGGTAGTAGAGAGGGTGTGCACAGACACCTAATCTGTAAGAGTTTATGAATCTTATCTTATCAGCTGGTCTATGCGGATAAAACAATGCTCTTCTTTGGAATGTTGGGAATGTGATATCTTATGACCATTCCAGAACTCCTTTTAAAGATCTTAGTTGCTTGGCTGTCAGCTGACTTACTGACTATTTGACCTAAAACTAGGTTGGGTGTTTGACTTCTTTTACTATACACTGGCACAGGGACATTGAGCAAAAAAATTAGCATGACAGGCCCCTCCACGTGCCTGTACACTGCTTTGAATCTGCTTTATAGTACCCTCAAAATCCAAGGCGCTATGTACTGTCAATCCAGTTGGTGCCGGCCCCGCCAACTGGATGTGCCATACTATTGGTTAGTAAGCCTACCTGTCACAATGGTGGACCAGCACTGCATATGGCACTTCTTTTTCTGTGCTGGAACGCTCTGTGCATGCCACATCATTTCTGTTCTTGGCTGAAGATGGCCTGTTAAAGTCCCTTGGTTGTGAAGAAGTTAAATTTAACATGGCTGTAAAAGCACAGTACCGCACAGCAAGGCTCTTTCCTGGCTGCCTGCAATAAAGGTATGTTAAAAGCTTCATTTAATTTTAGAGTGCTATGGGAATTAGTCTGCTGATCACATGACCTCCTTTCACCCCTTCCTCCCCCACCTTTCGCCCACTAACTCCTTGACGACCCTTGAACAGTAACCTCCGATTCCCACAATGCAGTTTGTTTACAGTCAGTCTTAATTTTAGATGACCCTTTCTCGCTGAATTGGCAAACAGTCCTTCCAGAAAAGTTCAAATAAATGGAAATGAGCCATTAACTTGCAGGACAAGTGCTTCCTGTTTAAAAAAAAAAAAAAAAAAAAAAAATATTTTTTGGGGTAAAAAAAAAATCGTGCAGGATCAATCCAGTTGGTGCCGGCCCCGCCAACTGGATGTGCCATACTATTGGTTAGTAAGCCTACCTGTCACAATGGTGGACCAGCACTGCATATGGCACTTCTTTTTCTGTGCTGGAACGCTCTGTGCATGCCACATCATTTCTGTTCTTGGCTGAAGATGGCCTGTTAAAGTCCCTTGGTTGTGAAGAAGTTAAATTTAACATGGCTGTAAAAGCACAGTACCGCACAGCAAGGCTCTTTCCTGGCTGCCTGCAATAAAGGTATGTTAAAAGCTTCATTTAATTTTAGAGTGCTATGGGAATTAGTCTGCTGATCACATGACCTCCTTTCACCCCTTCCTCCCCCACCTTTCGCCCACTAACTCCTTGACGACCCTTGAACAGTAACCTCCGATTCCCACAATGCAGTTTGTTTACAGTCAGTCTTAATTTTAGATGACCCTTTCTCGCTGAATTGGCAAACAGTCCTTCCAGAAAAGTTCAAATAAATGGAAATGAGCCATTAACTTGCAGGACAAGTGCTTCCTTTTTAAAAAAAAAAAAAAAAAAAAAAATCATTCTTTCGGTGACATAGAAACTGTGTCAGGAATGTCACACGGAAGTTTTAACCAATCATGAGAATGTTTCACTTAAAGCCAAGGTATTTTTTTGTACACCTACACTGTTTCAAGATGCATATTCATGATTCATTTTAAGATTTCTGCAAAAAACTAAATCAATTAAGTCCTATATGGGGAACTTGAGTTACATTTGTTTAGTGACTATTGATTCACAAAAAGAAAAGCCTAACAAACTATCAAGAACAAGATGATTCATTTTCTGGACATTCCCTGTAGATTAGTGTGCATCCTGTGAGCAAAACATAAAAAATGGACCTAGCATAAACACACTTGACTGCCTCATAGAGATAATGTTCTGATCTCTTGAAGGGGTTTTCCATCTTTAGCTTGCATGATGGAAAACCTCTCACCAAGTGAGTTGTGTTGGACATTGGAGGTCAACTGCTGCTTGAACCTCACCGGTTTCCTGTTTGCAAGCATGACTGTATTTTCCATAACGGACCTGTATTTAGGACAGTAGGAGAATGCTCAAAGCTTAAATGTAACCTGTGACAATCTCTTCTGATTTTGCTTTCATTTTCTGGTCACCTCTGGACATTTGTATCTAAATTCAGCAAATAGAACTAGAGAGGGAATGTGCAAGGAATGTTGAAGGGAGCCAGAAGACTCCCTGGAGTTGAAGAACCATAAAACCCTATATCCTGTTTTTATGGTGTTGGCGTGTACAGTTAAAAAGAAAGTAGAATGTAAAGCAAATCCCCATTCCTCTTCCAATAGCACAGTCTAGGGTAAGTTTTTACTAATAATCATGACACAAGGGGTGTGGCTTATGCTAAAGCATCGAAATGTAACAGGTACACTTTAACTACTGT